CTTTAAAGTAATTATTGATAGGTATGTACTTATGGTCGTTTTGTGTTTTCTGGTTGTTTTTGTAACACTTTTTGGTTCCTTCTTCTTTTGCTGTCTTCCGTTGTGATTTGATGACTATCTTTAGTGTTACTTTTGGTTCCCTTTCTGTTTTTCTGTGTGTGTATCTATTTTGGTTTGTGGTTACCACGAGGTTTGTATACAACAACATATATATATGATTATTTAAAGTTGATGATCTCTTAAGTTCAAATGCATTCTAACAATGCTGCATTTTTATTCCTCCTTATTCACTTAAAAATTTTTTTCACCTCATATTTTACATCATTTTTTTGTGTGTCCCTTAACTACTTATTGTGAATAAAGATGATTTGACTACTTTTGTCATTTAACCTTTCTACTATCTTCATCAGTGGTTGATCTACTACCTTTATGTTTGCCTTTACCAATGAAACTTTTCCTATCATAATTTTCATACTTCTTGTTGTGGTCTTTTCTTTTCTGCTTAGAGAAGTCTCTTTAACATTTTTTATAAAGTCGGTTTAGTGGTGCTGAACTCTTTTAGCTTATCTGTAAAACTTTATCTGTCCTTCAAATCCAAATGATCGCCTTGCTGGGTGAAGTATTCTTTTTTTTTTTTTTTTTTCAAGTATTCTTGTTGTAGGTTTTTTCCTCTCATCACTTTGAATATATTGTACCTCTCCTTTCTGGCCTGCAAAGTTTCTTCTGAAAAGCCAGCTGATAGTCCTATGGGAGTTCCACTGTATGTAACTAATTGTTTTTTCTCGCTGCTTTTAAGATTCTCTCTTATCTTTAATTTTTGCCATATTAATTACAACGTGTTTTGGCATGGACCTCTTTGGGTTCATCTTGCTTAGGACTCTCTGTGTTTCCTAGACCTGGATGCCTGTTTCTTTCCCCAGGTTAGGACAGTTTTTATCTATTATCTCTTCAAATAAGTTTTGAGTCCCTTTCTCTCTTCTCCTTCTGGGATCCCTATAATTCAAATGTTAGTATGCTTGGTGTTGTCTCAGAAGTCTCTTAAGCTACCTTTATTTTTTTAATTCTTTTTTTCTGTTCAGCTTGGGTGATTTCCATTTCTCTGTCTTCCAGCTTGCTGATCCATTCCTCTGTATCATCTAAGCTACTGTTGATTCCTTCCAGTGTTTTTTAAAATTTCATTCATTGTATTCTTCAGCTCTCTTTGGTTCTTCTTTATATTTCTAATTCTTTGTTAAAATTTTCACTGTGTTCATCCATTCTTCTCCTGAGTTCACTCTGCATCTTTATGATCATTACTTTGAACCCTTGATCATGTAGATTGCTTATCTCTACTTTGTTTAGTTCTTTTTCTGAGGTTTTTGTCTGTTTAAACATATTCCTCTGTCTCCTCATTTTGCCTAATTCTCTGTATTTATTTATTTTATATTTCTTTCTTTTTAAAAAAAAATCTGTGTTTATTTCTATGTGTTAGGTCAGTTACATTTCCTAATCTTGAAGAAGTTGCCTTATATTAGAGATGTCCTATAGGCCCCAGCAGCACACTCCCCTCTGGTCACCAAAGCTATATGCTCTGGGGGTGCCCCTTATGTGGGTTGCATGGGTCCTTCTGTTGTGGTGGGGCTGAGCACTGTGGGCATGCTGGTAGGTGGGGCTGGCCCCTGGCCTTGTTGGCTGCCAGGCCCTGCCTCGTGCTGTGACTGCTGGCCTCCTGGTTGAGGAGGGGTGGGTCCCAGGGCAGCTGGCTGCATGGCCTGGGGGGGGGTTCTCAGGGTTGGTGCTTCCCTCCCCCCATCCCCAGTGCTAATAGACTAGAGAGAGGACTCCAAGATGGTGCTTGCCAAGCACCAGTGTCCTTGTGGTAGAACAATCTCCCTAAAATGACTTCCGTCAGTGTCTATGTCCCCAGGGGGAGTCCCAGTTGCCTCCTGCCTCTCTGAGAGGCTCTCAAGGTCAGCAGTTGGGTCTGACCCAAACTCCTTTCATATTACTGCCTGTGAACTGGAACTCAGGGTGTGTGAGATTTCACATGTGCCCTTGAAGAGCACAGTCTCTGGGGAATTCCCTGGTGGTCCAGTGGTTGGGACACCGTGCTTCCACTGTTGGGGGCCAGGGTTCGATCCCTGGTCAGGGAACTAAGATCCCATAAACTGTGCAGCCAATAAAAAATAAAATTATTTTAAAAAAAAGATCAGAGTCTCTGTTTCCTACATCCCTCCAGCTCTCCTGAAAGTAAGCCCTGCTAACCTTTTTTTTTTTTAATTTTTAAAAATTCTTCTAATTTTTTTGCGGTACGCAGGCCTCTTAGTGTTGTGGCCTCTCCCGTTGCGGAGCACAGGCTCCGGACGCGCAGGCTCAGCGGCCATGGCTCACGGGCATGGCTCACGGGCCCGGCTCACGGGCCCAGCCGCTCCGCGGCATGCGGGATCTTCCCAGACCGGGGCACGAACCCGCGTCCCCTGCATCGGCAGGCGGACTCTCAATCACCGCGCCACCAGGGAAGACCCCTGCTAACCTTTAAAGTCAGATGTTCTGGAGGCTCATCTTCCCAGTGCAGGAACCCCAAAGTGGGGAACCTGATGTGAGGCTTGAGCCCTTCGCTCCCTGGTGAGAACCACTGCTGTCGTGATTGTCCTCCCATTTGTGGGTCACCTACCCATGGTGTGGGTCTTGGCTATACAGTATCTCTGCCTCTTCTACCCATCTCGTGGTGGTTTCTTCTTTATATCTTTAGTTGTAGAAGATCTTTTCTGTTAGTCCTCAGGTTATTCTCATAGATAATTGCTCTGTAAATAGTTGTAATTTTGATGTGCCTGTGGGAGGAGGGGAGCTCAGGGTCTTCTACTCTGCCATCTTGGCTAGGTCTCTCACAATTAATGTTCTCAGCTGTCAGCTTCTCCTCCTACCTTGTGAACCCCTCAAGGGCAGGAAAGCAGGTCTCATTCATCTTTATACCACCAGCACCTTTCTCAATATCCAGCACAAAGTCCAGGTCCAATGCATGTTTGCTGAATTGACCAAAAAATGGGAGATTTCTTTCGGTGGTGGAGGGGGAAGGCTGCTCTGATTCCCTTAGGCTGAATTAGTTCTACCTCTGCTTTGCTCCCCTAATGATTTCCTTGAGCCTCACACAGTGGTTATGATTAACTGTGGGCATCTGGAGCCAGGCTGCCTGGTTAAAGTCCCAGCAGTGCCACTTTATGTGTGACTCTAGAAAAATAACATAACCTTCCTGGGCCTCAGTTTCCTCATCTGTAAAGTGGGGAAAACAATACAATTTACTTCATAGCATTGGTTGTGAGAATTAAATGAGTTCATTCATTTGAATCAGTACCTAAACACTCTATCAGCATAAGTTATTATGGTCTATCTATCTATTTATCTCTACTAGATTGTCAGCACCTGAAGAGAAGCTTTACATTTCCCTTGGTGCTTTTTGTACAAGACTTGCTCAAAGTAGCACTCCATAAATATGCTGAATTTAATTGGCAAGTCACCTGGATATCCATACCAGTATCATTTCCATATCTGGCTAGCCTAGTAATAAAGGGCAGGTCAGTGAACATCTAACCAAGTGTAACTTACTCAGGAAGACATAGCCAAAGGAAACCAAGCCTGACACATCTATTCAAGTTCTTTGAGCAATTCATCAAGCATGGCAGACAAAAGGAAACGTGTGGACTTGTTTATTAAGATTGTCAACAATTGTTTGACCAAGTTTGAACTACCCTGAATGAGGAAAAAATGTTTTGTTATGAATATGAAGTTGGCTCTGCCCTGGAAAACAGCAAGTTGGGTTAGATGGGTACTTCTCTGTTTAAATGTGGGGTATCCCAAAGTGGAGAGCCAGGTTTCCCAAACCCCCATATAACTCAGCACCCCTTGTAGCTACAGGAAACCAGAGACCTTTCCAGGTATTTGAGGCACAAAGGGATTGAATAAGGAATTGCTTCCTTCTAAATCTCTGGAAGAGTACAAGAGGCTTTGTGCTAGGCCTCTGGGTTGACTCCTGGAATAACACTGCTGAACCTGCCTGCTAGGAGAGCTGCTGCCACCAACCCCCTTGGGGAAGTGGGAATCAGGAGGCCACCTTTGGACTGTTGATTTCCAGAAAATACCACCACAATAGCAACCCAGGGATCAGGAGGCTACAGCTGCCCACAAGCTAGTGACCGATCACTGGAACATTGCTGCAGAGAAAAAGGTTGACTCTACGACCTTGTTTGTCAGAAGCAGTCAAAGGTGGCAGGAAGATGGCCTCTGCCTCACTTCTACCTTCTCAAGTTCACAATCCATGTCCAGCCTGTAGGACCACAGCTGCAAGGGAGGCTGGAGCATTTGGTTTTAGCTTTCCCTTCTGAGACTAAGGAAGGTACTCTAGAGGGATTGAGAGGGATGCTGGACCAGTTGATCAATATATCCCCCATGCCCTCATTCACTGTGCTCCAGTCACTGGCTTTCTGGCTGCTGTCAGCACACACCAAACTTTTCCCCCATGCTTGGATCTTTGCATTTGCTGTTCCCTCTGCTTGGAATGCCCTTCCCAGAGATCTTCCGAGTCCTGTTAAGCATCACTTCCCCAGAGTCATTCCTCATCCAAAGACCTCCTAGATGGCCTCACTTCCCCAGAGAGACATTCTTCATATAAAGACCTCCTAGATGCCCCTCTCCACTGGCTTGGGCCTGTTTCTAAAACAGTGAATCGCAAGAGGATGGAATTACTAGGCTAGGTCTCACTATCTGGGCTAAAACTCTATTATATCACCTTGCTTTATTTTATTCCTAGTACCTATTACTAACTGAAATTATTATATATACTTATCTGTTCACTTGTTTATCACTTGTCTTCCCCCCTTAGAATGCAAGTTTCATGAGAGTAGGAACTTTATTTTCTTCATCCCTGTGGCCAACATCTAACATACCTGATATATAGCATGCACTCAATAAACATTTGTTGAACAAACCACTGAAAAATAGAGAGAACATAGCACTTTGGACTTAACCTCTGTTACCTGATTTACCATATAATATTGTAATTACTCCCTCACAGGCACTCTTCTTGGTTCAGAGCCAAGACTGCATCTTGTTTTTTTATTTTTGCTTCACTTCTTAGCATAATGCCCAGAAATAGTTGACAGGCCCTGCATTTTGATGAATGGATAAATGAGAAAGAAGGCGTGAATGCACATATTAAGGAAGCAAGGGTGTGTTTTAGGATGTAAGAAAGTGGAGAAGGAGGGTGGCTATTGCAGAAGAGTGATTAAATGCTAAATAAAATCATCTCAATCAGGCCAGAAAATGCAAGAGATCCTCAGATCAGAGTGAGAGGCAGATGGGGTCAGGTTGAGTTCAAGGTAGCCAACAGGAGGCTCAGCCTGGGCAGAGGAAGATGCCAGGAGCTGAGAATCCTTGAAAAGAAGCTGCCAAGTATCTACTAGCAGACTTGATAGGATCTCTCATTTCTTGGACACTTTTTTTTTTCTTGTATACTTTTTACAACTACTTTTTCCCAATTCCTTTGGATGGGATCCTTTTGTCCCCCCTAAAACTCTGAGAAGCAAGACGGCCGTAAGTTCCATTCTCCACATCATTCATAAAATACATCTTGTCAGTGTTGTGCTATGGGGCAAGAGAGAAACCAAACATCCCCTTTTAAAAAAGATGCATTCTGGGAATTTCCTGGCGGTCCAGTGGTTAAGACTCGGTGCTTTCACTGCTGGGGCCCAGGTTCAACCCCTGGTCAGGGAACTAAGATCCCGCAAGCTGTGCGGTGCGGCCAAAAAACAAGGTGCATTTCAGTGTTGCCCCTCATTGGATAGATTTCTGAAGGGAAAAGGTAGCCTTCGCAGGAGGCAAAAGAAAATTTTAGAAAAATATAAAGCCTTAAAAAGTTTTTGATCTTTTTATATCTTTAATATGTAAGTTATTTCTGACAATCACCAAATAATTGTTTAACTCAGCCTTTTACATATACACAAACGTGCAAACACACAACATACACAAATACATACAAACATTTACAAACACAGATACACAGACACACAGAATCACATGCACGAACACACAAACCTAAAGCAACGCCCTTGTTTATGAAACAAAATACAGTCAAAAGATATTTGTAAGAACTGTTTCCCAGGGAAGAAAATAATAATTTATTGCATTTAAAAAAAATTTAAGCATTGAAAATGGTAAAAATCTATTTTACTAACAACTGGTGAGGGGCTGAGGGAAGAGGAAGGAAGTTTAGGAGGGTTTCACCAGGCGCTCGCCCTGTGAAAGGCTGTCCTGAAAAGTCAGGAGCTCAGCTTTCATCACCACAGCAGCCTCACCTAGGGGCTGACTCTCAGGGGCCCTCATCAGCCACTTGCTGGGTGGGCAATTTGATTGGAAAAAGAAAAGTATAGCATCAGTCTGTGCATAGAGACTGATGATAGAAGAGACCGAAGAAAGGAAAAATGAGGGCTTCAGAGGCTGAGAATAGTAGCAATCGATGTGGGGACTTCTGGGGGAAAGAAAGCAGGGGGAATGGAGACCCAAGGCCAGGAGGAAAAAGGAAGTAAGACCTACAGAAATGTTTACACACCTTGAAACCAGTGGGGAGATGTCAACATGGAACGCAGTCTGTCCTTTGTGGGACATTGGACTTATAGGTGACAGCAGTGAGGTGGGAAAGACGCTCAGAAATATTCAGGGGTTATATGCTTAAGAGCAAGCACCTTCCGGGAGCAGCCAGCAGAGGCCGTGGGAAAAGGGGAGACGCTCTTTTCTCTGGGGAAGTCCGAGCCTGCTTGTTTCCGCTTGACACCACCGTTCCCCTGTGCAGAGCCCCTTCCTTCACCCTGAGGTGGAAATGATGAATACGAGTGCACAGCTCTACTGTCCCAGGGGTATCTGCACCTTCTCAGGCTCCCACCTTTCCATTTCCTCCCCTCCCTTCTCAGGGCTAAATCAAACTTTCTTCTAGGACTCAGCTTAAAGGTCTCCTCCTCCAGGAAGACTTCCCTGACTCTCCAACCTCCTTCCTTCTGTGGCCCCCGGTGCTTCCCTCAATACCTATCATACTGGGTCCAAATGGCCCTGAATGACCCCCACCCCTCACTAGGTTGGGAGCCCCTTGAAATGTGGGCTGTGTCTTTTCAGGGTATCCCCCCGTTCCTAGCTCAGAGCCTGCTATGCAGTAGATACTCAGCAAACCTAGTGAAGAAACGGAGGATGGAAGGCCAGAGATCTTCACAGGGGTGGGTGACAGCTCTCAGAGTATTGCCCTTCCCAGGGACTCCTGCATTGTTTGAAAGGCTTGTTTTAGGCTTGGTAAGGTGGCGCTGGGAGATGAGGTGGTGTGTCTAGCGTCAGCAGCTTGTGCAGGGAAAAGGATTAGGGAAGGAGGAAAGGGACAAGGAAGCCGATCTTCTGGCATCCTTTGTGGGTATTGTCCCACATGTAACTACAGTCTTCTCCAGAGTCTCCAGAAGTGAGTGATAGAAAAAAAGGAGTAGGAAGAGGAGGCCAAAAGAGCAGAGTAGTAATTTGCCCGCCACCAGCCCAGCTACTGTAAGCGTCCTTTCGAAAACGAGGAACAACAGGCCATTCTATTCTGCTGAGGGCGCAGGCCCGTTCATTCCACAAATATTTATCGAGCACCTGTTATGTGTTGGGTGTTGTTCTCGGTGCTGGGAAAATAGCAATGAAGATAATATGGTGCTTATATTTGGGGGGGAGATAACTGTATATAGTAAGTCAGGTGATAATATGTGTTATGGAAAAAGTAAAGCAGGGTAAGTGGGTTAGAGAGGGGTGGGGGGAGGAGCTGCTTCACATAGGTTGGTCGGGAAGAGCTCTGTGATGGCTTTTGAGCAGACCCCTGAAAGAAACGAGAGGAAGCCAGTGGACCCCTGGAGTAAGAACATCCGAGGCTGAAGAGACAGGTGCAAAGGCCCTGAGGCTGGAGTATGCTGGGTGTGTAAGAGGAACTGCAAGGCAGCCAGGGCAGCTGGAGCAGAGGGAGGAAGGACAGAATGGTTAGGGAGGAGATTGGAGGGATGACAGGGAACTGGATCACTTAGCACCAACATTCTATGATGAGGACTCGGGATTTTTCCTCTGAGTGTAGTGGGGAGCCCTGGCAGGATGTGAATAGCAGAGTAGAGGGAGGAACATGATCTGACTTAGGTTTCAACAAGATCCCTCTAGCTGCTGGGTGGAGAACTGACTGCGGAGGGCACAAGGGTGGTGTCAGGGAGACCAGTTAGGATGCTGCTACTGCAACAGCCGGGGCAAAAGGCAGTGACAGCCAGGGCCAGGGCAGTGATAGGGGAGGGGATGAGAAGTGGTGGGATCTAAATGCACATTGAAGGTGGGGCTGATAGGGTTTTCTGAGGAGTTGGGTAAAGGCTGAGAGAGAGAAAGAGAACCCAAGGATGATTCCTGGGTCCTTGACCTGAGCAACTGGAAGGGTGAAGGAGGGAAAGACTGGGCGTTAGGGCAGCTTTATGGGAGAAAACCACCACAAGTATGCATCGCAACAGGTTTTGAGATAGCTATTGGGCACATGTATTACCTATCAATTGCTTTATAACACATTACCCCCAAACATAGCGGCTTAAGAGAACATGCATCTATGTCACAGTTTCTGTGGGTCAGAAACCCTGGCGCAGCTGGCACAGGTCCTCTGACTCAGGGGCTCTCACCTGCAGTGGAGGTGTCCAGCTGGGGCTGCGGCCCCTCTCAAGACTCGACTTGGGGAGGATCTGCTTCCAAGCTCACTTAGGAGGCTGTTGGTAGGACTTAGGTCCTTGGGGGCTGTTGGTTAGCAACGTCCTTCCTGACCGTGCCAACCTCTCCATCGAGATGCTCCCAGTGTGGCAGCTGGCCTCCCGTGGAGAGAGCGAGCAACCCTGAGGTCATCGTGGTTTTGTAACCTAATCTTAGAGATGACATCCTATCACTTCTGCTGTGTTTTATTTATTAGAAGAGGGTTGCTAGCCCAGCCTGCACTCAAGGGGAGGTGACAAGTGTGAATATCAATTGGCAGGGACCTCTGGGAACCATGTAGAGGCACCTGCCACAGCAAGGAGGCAATTGGACCAACAAGTACAGATTTCAGGGAGAGGTCCAGACAGGAGCTGTCCATATGGGGGTTACCCATGACGGGCCTGAGCCAAGACAGCTGGGAGTGACCCAGACAGAGAAGAGAAGGGGACCAAGGACAGAGCCTGGGAGCTCATCAATGTTTGGAGGTCAGGGACATGCAGAGGGACCAGCAAAGGAGATGGAGGAGGACCAGTGATGTAGGTGGTGAATGGAGAGTGGTGGCCCCGGTGTCCCGTAGGCCAAAAGAGAAACCTGTTTGCAGGACAGGGAGGGATCAGCTGGTCGAAAGCCATGGAGAGGTCTGGCAAGGGAGGGCGGAGCTCAGGATTGGGCAGCATGGAGATCAGCTTAACAAGAGCTGTCTCAGTGGAGTGGAAGGAGTTCCAGAGAGAATGGGAGGCTGGGAAGTGGAGGTGGACACAGCACTTTCCAAGGACCCTCGGTGTCGAGGCGCGCACAGCCTTGTATCTGAGGGCAGCAGGTAACTCTTAGCTGAGCTGATTCTTGGAACTCTGTTTCTCTCTCCACCCCTTCTTCACACACACCCCCCACCCCCACACCCCCACCCCCACACACGCACACCCCACCCCCACACACGACCTTCCCTCTGCTACCCCAGCTGGGACAGGGGATTAGAACCCTGAAGTTGGCCTGTTTTGTTTTTTGTTTCTGGTACCAAGTTACACATTATGGGACTAGGGTGGAGACACATGCTATTAATCCTCGGTCATCAGCTTGAGGTTCCCTAAATCCTAAAATCAGCCACCCCTAGGGGACCTAAATCCCTGGTTTAGAAGCCAAACAGCACTAAGCAAAAGCTGATTGCTGACTGCCATCTGGTGGTCATTTTGGGACCTGGCCTGGATCTAAATCTGTCCCTCACAGGGTGGTGGGAGGAATTGAGGGAATTGTTAGAATGCCACCTGGCACAAATTGTGTTCAGTAAAACTGGGCTGCTGTCATTGTGCGCATGGTTTGGAGGAGCATGGTCAAAACAGTGTCCCTGACTTCACTCCCAACATTTTTTGAAGGAAAAGGAATTATTCTAAAAGGAGGTCCCTCTTCTTATCTTGGTAAAAGTAAGAGTGCTTCAGGGAACCAAGTAGGACAGTCATATAAGAAGTTAGATGATCTAGGGACTTCCCTGGTGGTGCAGTGGTTAACAATCCGCCTGCCAACGCAGGGGACACGGGTTCGAGCCCTGGTCCAGGAAGATCCCACATGCCGCGGAGCAACTAAGCCCGCGCACCACAACTACTGAGCCTGTGCTCTAGAGCCCACAAGCCACAACTACTGAGCCTGAGTGCCACAACTACTGAAGCCCGCGCGCCTAGAGCCCCTGCTCTGCAGCAAGAGAAACCACCGCAACGAGAAGCCCGTGCACTGCAACGAAGAGTAGCCCCGCTCACTACAACTAGAGAAAGCCTGCGCTCAGCAACAAAGAACCAGTGCAGCCAAAAATAAATTAATTAAAAAAAAAAAAAGAAGTTAGATGATCTAGATCCAAATCCCGATTTTGATACTATGGGGCCTTGATCATATCACTTAAGCGGCCTGAGTCTCAAGTTTCATCAAACCATAAAATGGGAACATTAGAATTTAAAACTATACAAGGTGGGACTTCCCTGGTGGCTCAGTGGTTAAGAATCCACCTGCCAATGCAGGGGTCACGGGTTTGATCACTGGTCCAGGAAGTTCTCACATGCTGCAGAGCAACTAAGCCCGCACGCCAAAACTACTGAGGCTGCGTGCTGCAACTATTGAAGCCCGTGCGCCTAGAGCCTGTGCTCCGCAACGAGAGAAGTCATCGCAATGAGAAGCCCACGCACCGCAACGAAGAGTAGCCCCTGCTCGCTGCAACTAGAGAAAGCCCGTGAGCAGCCAAAAGCAAAATAAAACGAACAAACAAAACAAAACAAAAACTATACAAGGTGGTAAATGTAAAGAGCTCTTATTAAAGGTACACTCCATTAGTTAATAGTAGTTGGCATACCAGCTCTAAGCACTGGGGGTGTGTTGCTTTAAAATAGTGGTTCTCAACCGGGGGTAATTTTGCCCCCCAGAGAACAACTGGCAATGCATGGTGATATTTTTGTTTGTCACAAGGCTGGGGGATGCTAAAAAAAAAAAAAAAAAAGGCTGGGGATCCTACTGACATCTAGTGGGTAGAGGCCAGGGATGCTGCTAGACATCCTACAATGCACAGGACAGCCCCCTATGAGACAGAATTATCCAGTCCAAAATGTCAATAGTGCTTGAGTTGAGAAATCTTGGAACTTTAAAAAAATTTTATTATTTATACATTTATTTATTTTATTTATTTATTTTTGGCTGCACTGGGTCTTCGTTGCTGGGTGCGGGCTTTCTCTAGTTGCGGTGAGCGGGGGCTGCTCTTCATTGTGGTGCACGGGCTTCTCATTGCGGTGGCTTCTCCTGTTGCGGAGCACGGGCTCTAGGCGTGTAGGCTCAGTAGTTGTG